AGCTTAATGTCTCATCCAAAAGATGCCACCTCCTATACTCCTGCCATCGTGAGGCATTGATTTGGAAATGATGGTCCAAACAGAAAAGCGCCACCTACTGGTCCACAAATACCCACATACAACAGCAACCTGGTTGTCGTTGGAGGTCTCCCTTCTCAGTACTGACCAGAACCGATCTTCTGATGGTCCTCTGAGGTCAGGCTACAAGATGCTTGCAGGTCTTATTGACAATACCTTTTGTGATGCAGTCTGGAAGCAAGTATAATAAATACAGTAAATAAATTGTATGCTCCGTTTACCTCCATTTTGTGGGAGAGACTTCCTTTTACTGTCAAATTGAGGAATGGACTCTGACCGCCAATCGATAGCCTATTGATAATGGTGCAGGTACACTCACACAGGGACCAACCCCCCTGCGGTTCTGGGCCTGGTAAATATTGGATTTGTCAAACAAGCACTCCACTGGGATAAAAAAACGGTCCTCCTCAGAACTGGTGACTGGTACAGGCTGGTCCACTGAGGCCTCAGCTGCTTTATGGTGCCTATTTGTCTGTTTATTTTCTTGTATTTGCAGACCTTTCACGGAAGAGATCTATCGGCAGAGAATCTCATCCGAGAAGAACAAATGAGTACATCTGTGTTTGTGCAAGGATTAGGGAAGTCTCACTGAACAAATGACCCAGGACCCATGAGATAGGAAGATGGCTCTGGACTGAACACTTCACTGACTTAACTGGGGTGCATTGCATCTGATATCCTCCTCCCTGTGGACCACAGTATACCAGCATGAAAGTATTGATAAATAAAAACATATGGATAACAGATGAGGTTGAAAAATATTTCCAACCCCCCTTTTAATTCTTTTTTTCTCATGCTGTTTAGGGTAAAAATGTAAATTTGATGAGACCATAAGAATATTTCTGTCTATACTGCCAGGATGATGTACTGTAATTACATATCCCATAGAGGTTTGTAATCTACTGTATATACAATTTTGTCCATGTTAAACTTTACAGAGTTAAATATGGAGCCTACTGTATTAAAATTAATATCCCTATGGTGGGAGTTTCACCTTACACTTGGTGTAGGTAGCATCCTTCCCTGTAAGTGTTGTTTCGGGCTCTGCGTTAAGCATCACACCAAGCCTCCAGCATGTTTGTGACTGCTCCTTTTTTGTGCTTGGTATTGTGTTTCATTCCTCTCTGTCGGGACTCGGGATTTAAGACAGAATGGCTTTGTTTGCTCGTGTGTGTCCAACCTGAATCCTCTATCTACACGTTATGATTTGTTTTTTAAAGAGACAAAGGGAAAAGTAAGAAGCAGGTCTGTGAATGTGTGATTTGAAAATGCGATTGTACATTGTGCTTTGGGAATTTGTCATTTTGTTTTTCATTCAAATTAAAAAAATAATGACTTATTGTTAAGAATGTGGCAGCACATGTCTAAGTACTGTATGTGTTGTATTCCTTTGATTTGCTTTTAGGTATAACTTATGTCTTTGCTGTAGCTAGCTTGCATATGCAAGTCTGTAAAAAAGACATGTGTACAGACAAGATAATGATGACTTTGCACCAGAGTCTGTATTTTTAAGGGCAGAGGTATGTGCCTTATTGAGCCCATCAAAACTGAATCAGTTTAGCCTGTCTTTCTTGTCAAATCCTGTTTACTACCATGATTCTGCTGACATTGCTGAAAGCTGTCAGTATTCAGATCCACGATGGGTAGGTTAAGGTTACTCAAGAACTATACATTATAGCAGGATAAATAACTTCTGCTTAGAAGAATTTCTGCTAAACTGTGTGTGACATGACAGCAATTTTTAGCCTTGACCTCGCGTCACTGAAATTAATAGGAACCAATTAGGAAAACTACAAATTACAAGTACAATACTTGGGGTTAAACAGAACACTACCCCAGAGTGATGAACAAACTCAGCATTCTTTATACAGGTTATTAAATCATGGTCTCCTAAATCAAATTGTGGTTTCAGAAAACAGTGCAATTAAGTTTATTGGGTCAGTACATTATAGAATGATCTGCTGATGGCTTAGCACACCAAAGGTATTTTAAAAAATCACAGTGATTTCTGTTTTATACTGTTAAGCAGAGCTATGATCCAAAATACTACTGTATATCAAGAAATCTGTATTCTGGAGTTTGCATTTATGCTGCAGGTCAGATGTTGTCTGCAGTAGTAGCTGAAATCAAGCCTTTCTAACAGGTCTTTATGGTTGACATGTTCAAAGTCAGTTTTGGCTTGAACAATGAGATAAATAAGTTGAAAGCGGTCGTATGCTCTCAGTTCTCCCCTTTTACACCCAATGACCCTCACTAAGATGGATGGAGATAAATTATTTGTTCAATCTCTGCTGCTACTGTAAACTTGTGAAACATTTAGATAATGCCACCTCACTTTAGGTTTACAGTCATGAATTCTATTTTGTATTCCGGCAATGAAGAGCTGAGAAAATATATATTCTTAAAAAAACAAACACGTGTAAAATATTAACCCCAGACGTTTATTCTGCAACCTTGAATGTTTCTGATCTGTATATAGTGATTCAGATAGCCATTATCTATGATAAAACTGTCTCTGATACTAGGAGGTACCTGACTGGTACATTTCTCTTCATCTTGATGTTCCACTGTTACTGCCAAAATGTGGTTATTACTGTATCAGGTAACTGCATGTTGTTTGAAATCATACTGTCAAATTACTGTATGATTTATACAATTTTAAATTATTGTTAAGCCAACAAAAAACCCAATTGCCAATTATGTTGCTAATTGAAAACAGCTTGTTCCATACTCCTGCTACACTTTGTGTAAGGAAATGGCCCTTGCACTTCACTCGGATGGATGGAAATCACCATTTGTAACTACTGTATCTGAAATGAATTTAGATGTAATTAGCTCCTCCATCATCATCAATCCACAGTTGCGAAGACATCTTGACATATTTCTCCTCAGTAGTCCTAAACGAGACAGTTTATCCTCCTGTTTAATGGCTGGTGTTTGTTCGTAAGTGCTGATCTGGGCTTTGGTTGAGCTGGGCCCCTTGTGCCATTTCATTTCTAAATATATGTCATGTACGTGACCTTTAATTTTGTTCACCTGCTGTGCTGCTTTTTCTTTCCATTTAAAAAGCCTTCTTGATTTTTTTCAGTTCTTTTATTTCACATTCAATCCTAAAATGCATTACGTCACTGAATCTAAATCTGAATCTTGCTGATCTATTTTTTGAATACTTTTTTTTCCCCGCCATAGCAACCAGATAAAGTTGACTCAAAGAAAAATGTTAAGAATGATTAGAAAGGAGGCCTAGATGTCATTCAGATGTTTTGATAAAATGATTGTTGGTGGGGGAATCTTCTTTACTAGTTGTTCTTTCCCTCCCTTCTATTTCAAAATCTTCTAGGTCAAACTCTTAAAAATAGTACTTGTTAAAAATATAAATCTAAACAAGATCTTTCAGATTCTTGAAAAAATAAAACCATGCCTTCATTTGAGTTCAACATTTGTAGTTTTATCTCAGATTTTCAGCCTTCGTTAGACCCAAACCTTCCCATGCAGGTGCCATTGTGACAGACTGCTAATATGTGAAATGACTTTTTTCTGATGGGGACTGACCATTCAGTTCATCTAGGCTGACCACCACCGATCAGTACTGTGTCTGATGCCGTAACAGCTCTATTTAAGCATGTGGGCCACCTGAACGTTTTTTTCAATGCACTTAGTGCTTTAATGATCCTCTGCCTGAAGGAAGTGTTTCCTATATTCAATGCAAGATCTGTGCGTGTTTGTGCGTGTTGGTGTCTGTGTGTGCCCTGTGATGGACTAGTGTCCCATCCCCTCCTGCCTTGAGCCTGTTGCTTGCCAGGATAGGCTCCATCTCCTCCACAACTCTCTACTGGATAAAGCAGTGAGGAAATGGATGGATGGGAAGATCTGCTCAACAGGTTTCCATTTGCCTCATGCCTGCTGATCTTGGCAAATCTCCACTGATTGTATCAATAAAAAAAAACAAGTGTACATATATTAATGAAGTTGCAGGGGAAGCCACACTGTGTGTTTTGGATTACTCATAATTATATTTCCGTTGTTTGTCAAGCCCAGTTTAAGGAGGAGAAGAGGTGTGATTTGAATAGCTGGCTTTATTGGGGTAGCGCACTTGGCCGAGGAGAACGACAACCCAGTCTGTCAGAACACCCACCCCCATTTAATGAGGAATGAGCCAGGGAGCTGCTGCAAGGGTGCAAATGGGGTGTAGGGAGGGATGCGAAACCACATTGCATGCAGGTGATGAAGAACCAGGATGTATTACGTTTAGTTAGGCAGAAGTGGGCGAGATTAGGGTTTTGGCCTCCTGAACTTTTCTTTGAAACACCATCAGGCTGCTAGATAGAATTAGATCACACGCTTGTTGCTGGCTTAGACTTATCATGGACAGAGTCCAGTTCTGGTTCTGTAACATGGAGAGCAAGGTCCCAGGGCTAAAAACACAACCATTCCATGTCATTCTCCCATGTTTTCAAAGCATTTTGTTCTGCTGCTAGACAGGAGGACCACCGCCTAGTCTCATTTCTGGCTTTGGCATTACGAGAAGTATTATTTTACTAGCAAGGTAGACTTTGTTAGTTAATAAGCATACGTTGGGATGCTGGAAATCCATTGTGTATTTATTAGGCATTCATTTGGTTGATGCCTTTGTCCAAAGTGGCCTACCGTGAACACATTTGCGTAATGGTAAGAACAATTATTACAAACATTTGGATGAGTGCTGTACTAATTACTGTATATAGCATGATAAATTACAGAACAATCCTAATGCAATGAATGATATAATAAAGTAAAACTTGCAAGGATCGTCACAATCACAGTACAGATGTATGTAGATGAATAGGATGATGTGCACTGACAACATCTCCCTTTTTGTCTAGCAGATGTTCCACCGTTTTTCGCAGTGCAACGTGTTTCATTCAACCTCTTGTTTGTTACAGAAAGCACGAAGCACCTGAGTGATGCACCAACACAGCCTATGCACCACATCTACTTAACATCTGTGCACAGCCAGAATACTTGCTTGAATCGACTGCTTTCTACTCCCGAGAATACAGGAAGCCACAACCAGTGAAAACTTTCTTTTGGTGCTGTGCTGAGATAAGCAGCCAGAGATTACGAAGGAAATATCACGCTATGTTTTTCAGTCGTGCTTGTGATAAGCACCGTGTGGTTTCAGACTTGAGAACCGAAGCAAGGGGAAAGATCGATGCGCGCGCTGGACGTTGCACCGTGAATTTGCTTGAACTGATATAAAAGTCGGCCACATTCGGGTTGTCAGAGGTCATTGAACGGCTGGTTTTGACCTTAAAATGACCTTGTTTCTCTCCTGGCTACTCTTATTCCTGGATAATGCACAGCGACCTACAGAAGCTGCTTATGACTGCCCAGCTTGACTAAGCACAAGTGCAAAACGTACGGTTACCTCATGACCTTGTTTCACTCGGCATGTTAGACTGACAAAACAAGTTGGGAAACTAAAATTTCAAGGTCATTTTTTTTTTCTGCTTGTTTGATTAGGCAGCTAGTCGCACCCCTTGCAAGACCCCAAGGTTCCACTTAATTTCTTTGTTTAACTCTTGTTGTATTTAAAAATTTTAAATAATAATAATAATAATAACCGGGGTTAACAGCAGTTAAATTACTCAAAATCAAATATAATGTCATGTTGTTAATAAGGTTACTATTGTACAGTAGGTGATAAAGAGAGATGCTAAATATTATTTTTTATACATGGAATATGTATCCATAATAATAATTATAATTATTTGTAACAGCTGATTAAGATCATTGGGTCAATTAGATACTAAAGACTAAAACTGCAACTAAATTACCATCTTCTGCTTGTCACTTTTCTGAATTTATTCTAAGTAAATAGTTTTACTACTGTATCTGGTTATTGTCAGTCTTTTCAAAGGCTCTTAATGAACAAATTCTAATAGAGCTGGATTCAAATTCAAGATGTTGGAAAAGGTCAAGAAGAAGGATGTAATCTGCTAAAATTATGAGATTTTTTCCCCTAATGTGATCTAAGCAATTTTTCCCAACTGCTTGTTTTGTGAAGACTATGCAAGATATAATAACAGTTTTTGTTATTTCTCATACTTTTTGGGTCTCTATTTGATTCAATGAACACCTCCTAGGCTGTTTTACAGGCATTTTTGCAATAATTAAGTTAGTGTTATGTGAAAGGCTCCATTTTTCTTCCTGTTAAATTCAGGAAACTGGTCAATGGGTTTTGATCGTTCAGTAATCATGACAGTGTGGTAGAAATCATTTTGACCTTTCTTATATTAACATCTTCCTAACTTTATCAACTGTATGTTGAAGACTTGTTGAATTGTATTTTACATAACTTAAATTCAAGTTCTGCCAGGGTTATAAATTACTTAAATCAATGTCTATTCGTAATATATAATTATTATATTATATCTAAAATAAAGATACACATCAGTTTTCATTGACATTGGAGTGATTTCAGAGCCAAATCCAAGCGTGACAATTTTACTTTCTTTTTCTTTTTTTCCCTGCAATTTAACTCCATGGAATTCAGCATGGATCAAGATCCACAGTTTAGGTTCTGCATTTTTACCTGCCAAGATGCAAGTCAAATTAACAAAATAGATTTTTTTTTACCAGTCAGTAATCCAGTGCTTTTAATTCTAACAATCAAGTCCGAAATATTTTTGCTCCAGAGGAAGTTAATGATTGCTCAAATAAAAGTGTGGGCTCAAACCTCACTGGATTTGGATTCGGTAGAATTTCTTTACACCCGTAAACCAGAAAGCTGAGAACTCACTCCTCTTTTGTTATCTTTAATGAATACACTTTAATGATGTGAAAGACGGTAATCGGTAACAAGGCACTTGTGCCAGATGATTCTTTGTAATTGACTAGAAAGTGAAACGCTTTGAAAATCTTAATCGAGTGCTAATGATCAAAGGTACAGTATTAAAAAATAATAGCAATTGGTAATTGTAGGCAATGGATTTAAATGTTTGTTCACTGCAGTAACTGATGAAACGAGTGGAATTTTGTAATTGACCCTTTGTTCCATAATGTATCTGTCACATGCTTTACTTAATAACATCCTTTCTGCTTAAGTATCATTTGATTTTTTTGTCCCCAGCAATAGAGTTAAACTAGACGCCAATTGCTAAGGGGAGTGTAACAGTCAACAGCTTCAATTTATCTATTCATATTTTCAGTGATAAATGGCTGAATTCCAGACAATGAATCTATAAAAACGTTATTTTTAGATTTTCCTCACCAGAAAATGAATGGGGATGTAATAAAAGAGAAAAGTAATGAAACAGTATTGTTTTAAAGAAAAGATACAGGACGTGCTACCGAGCTCAGTAGTAATATCAATCATCTTTATTGCCGTTTTCCTCCAGACTCTAATAATAACTTCACTAATTGGATCATGTTCTGCTATTTTAAGCCCATTATCCTTTACACTGAATCATCTCACTGTAAAAGCCATTTTGTAAAGTAAAAAGAAAAAGCAAGGAGAATAAGGCATTACATCTCTGGATGCCTTCATTTCATTAAGGTCAGCAGCTTCTTCTAGTAGTTTTTTTTGCAGCTCTTAAAGGACTGTCCTAATATGACATAGTGGTACACTGACTACTATTGGCACTGCTGTTATTCTTGCATGGCCAGAAGTTTAGACTTCTCCATTTTGTTGGCCTCTGTGTGGTATTAACCTATCCGACACACACATGGAGATCTGGCTCAAGAAATTCAGGACTAGGTCATCTTTTGTCTCAGGTGAAATTCGCTTTGACCTCAGTATATTAAGCTCCATGTAGTTGTGCTGCAGGCACAAATATGGTCAGATAGCAGCTCCATTGCTACAGAGGCATATAATAATAATAATAACAATAATAATTGCTCACACTTACTCGATATAGCGCTTTTCTGGACACTCCACTCAAAGAGCTATACGGGTAATGGGAACACATCTGACACATTTGCCCCAGAATTCTTAGCGAGCGGCGGGTTTCGACTGTGCACATTTTAAGCACCGTTTTAACCAACTGAGGTCAACATTTTTAAACAATATGTTCTCAATGGCTCCTGTTTGCTCTCACAGTTCAAAAACATACTGGCCGATTAATCTAGGGTGTGGTGGATCGGCTTCGGGGAGAAAACTAGCCCTAGGTGTGAATCTATCCACGTCTGTGTGCAGCCTGCAATGGACTGGCATCCAGTCCAGGGTTCAGTTAAGCTTATATGTCATATGCACAAGGGCAATGAAATACTTATAGTGCAAGGCAGGCATACCCTGCCTTGTGCCAGTTGCTTGCCAGAATAGGCTCTGGCTTAATCACAACCCTGTGCTGGAAGAAGCTGATAGAAAATGAATGGGTGACCTCTTAGGCGGCTAGCAGTGGTTAGCCGCACAGCTCTGGGGCTTGGGTTCAACTCCAGATCTGGGTGTTAACGGTGTAGATGTTAGATCTGTGTAGATTGGGTAAAAGGCTAGGAAATGGAAAGACGGATTCAGTCCTCTCTTTGCCATGAATACCTTTGAATTGGATAGAGGGGTAAAATATGTTTTTTTTTGCTTGCAGTATCAGTGGAGAAAATGCCTGTCATTTCTTATTACTGTTAAATGATCACACTTCAGCTCTTAAATGTTCTGCCAGCAAGTGAGGCAACACACCCTATCTTTTATAACAGACTCGTTTGTCTCTTTATTTTGGGTGGAGACAACTAATCAATCAGAGTAATTCATGTCAAATGATTGCACATGGATCTGTTTTAATTTCGCATTTATCAATTCCAATGAGAAGACAAAGTGTCCATGAAAAGTAGATTCCTTCTTAAAGGGACACTAATTGTGTTTTCGTAAGGTTCTTATTTTAATAAGCTCAAGTTTGACTAGAGATCTTTCAAATCAAAAGATACGCAGTGTTACATAATCCAGCCATTAAAAGTCGTATTTTTTTCCACATCTCAAAAGGTTCTAGTATGTTACCTGCCATGCAACCCAAGAAACATTCATTTAAATCATGCTGGCTAATACAAAATTGAGAAAATGCTTTCAGCGCTTTCAGAAAAATAATGAGCTAGTTAGACCATAAACAAGCTGAGCACAGTGATTCTTCTATTGGCTGAAGGATTTTGCATTAAGTTAAATCTAGGATACCACTGGTTACAGGCAGCTGTGCTTATCCATCTTTCTTTTGATTAATGAGATTATATACCCAGGTGAGTGAAGAGAACCTGCTCACCTGTTGAATGTGTACATCTGGCACCAAAATGTAGTAGACAACTATACTTTATTTGCAGGGACATTACTGCAGTTTTTGTGGTGCACTCGTCAAGTTCTGCTTTCTTTCATTACTGTATTCCTGAGCCCAAGCTACAGCTGTCCTTCACCTTCCACACAGCTCATTCTCATCAACAATGGAGACACCGACGAATCTGCCCACAGAGTAATAAACCAGTTTATGACAATTAAATAAACCTTTTGTGCTTTCATGTCCATAAACTGATTAGCAAACCATGCGCAGAAGGACATAACAGAACTAATACCATTTGGCATCTGAGTATGAAGCCATAAATCCGCAGTATATCTGACTGAGCAAATTGAATCCACTCTTTTATTAGTTTTGTGTTTTTGTCTTGTTGCTTTGAAGCCTTCCAATGTCAGCTAGATAGATGTAAGCCTTAATTTTACTGTTGCATTGCTCGATTTGTTCCCTGGTTCCGTGGAAAGTGATCTTGTATAACTTACAGTAGCGGCAAGCTTGGGACAGCAGTGAGCATTTATGTCCAAGTTGTTCTGGAAAAAAAACACCTAAAATCCACCACTTCTATCGGGGCGCATTTAACGGCAAAGGTTTCACAAAACACTTCATAGGAAATAGGATGAAAAAGCATTTAAAAAATACATTATGTGCAATGGAAGATGGCCATCACAGTGGCACAGTAGTTAGCATGGCTGCCTCTCAATGCTGGGGCCACGGTTCGGTTCCTGGGGTGGAGTTTGCATGTTCTCCCCGGATTCGCATCGGTTTCCTCTGGGTGCTCCGGTTTTCCCCCACAGTCCAAAAACATGCTGGCAGGTTAATTGGCTTCTGGGGAAATTGGCCCTGGTGTGAGTGTGTGTGAGCTTGTGTGTGTGTCTGCGTGTGCCCTGAGATGGACTGACGTCACAGCCAGAGTGTATCCTGCCTTGCGCCCCTTGCTTGCTGGGATAGCTCCAGCTCCCAGATTGGATAAAGTGGTTATAAAACGGAGGGGTACAGAAAATCAATCTGCATCCTGCTTTTTAAGAAAAAGCTTTGCGGAATAGTAAACAGATACAAACGTATTGCAGAAAGCTCTTCAGGGGTAGTTGGAATCAAGATTTCAAAAACAAATACTGTTTGTTACACTGAACAAGAGAGAGAACCGGTCTGTGCAGTTTCACTGCGCTTAAGAAACGCCGTGGTTAGTACACAGGCCATACCGCGAATGGCCATTTAAAAGAAAGGCAATACAAAACCAATCACTGATTTAAGCTTAATTTTGTATTTTAATTTAAAAATGGTAACGCCAGAGTGAAATGAAATACCGCTAAACAGACTTTCACATACAATACTCCAGAATGCATTTGCGCACCTGGAGCTGGTAACCACTCCTCAATACTTATGTATTTTGAACAGGAGCAACGCGATTAAATGCGCATCTCTGGGTGAGTTACTAGGTTTGCGTGTGCGAAACAGGCGAACAAAGCGACTATGATTTTGAATGTGCATTCTCAATCCAGGTACTGAGCACATGCATCGATAAGTAGGACTAAGAATCGCGTCCTTTGGTTTCTTCTTAAAACTTGCTAAATAATTAATGAAATGTCTCCTAGCCACTGTTCCGTTTTTTCCAACATTACATGCGGTCTACCTTACACCCCCTTGAACGAGTACAGTAATAGGTATATCTGCCCGGTTTCCTATCAGATGCTAATACACAGAGGATAACCAATTACTGAAAGGACAGAGGCAGATGATGGTACTGCAGCTTCTGTTGTAAAGTAAAAACCATCCAGGCATAAGAAATCAGCCTGTAACGGTCAGGGCAAAAGCGTCCTACAGCGTCACTGTTTCTGCATAACAGACTATGGCCTCATTCTGACACTTTTATGTGTGGTTACAGAGGATCTGTGTCCCTTTGTGTAATGAACGACAACAAGTCACATACGGAACATGCATTACTGAAATATTCGTAGTGTTTTGCGCTTTTGTGTTCACAAAAGAAAAAATGCAAGCGACACTCATTGCGTCTTCACTGAATCTTAATTCAACTTACTGCAAATATATGCCGTGTCCTATACGTTTGGGAAGCATTTATCATTCATTACATTTTTTTGTAAATATTAAAGGCGTCAATACTGCGCACTACATACAGTTAATCTCTGTTCACTTCGGACGGGATACGGTCAGACGTCTCACTTTCACAACTGGCGAAAAGAGACGCGCAACCCCAGGCAAACATCAGCGCGCATCAGAACTGAAACGCAAGCTCTTTCTAATTAGTGATCAGCAGCGTCACCTGTGAACTCCGCCGGAGGGACTGAGGAGGCTGTGGCGCTGAAAAGCAGGCTTACATTTCCGTACTTTTACCTGGGTAACATAAATGGCTAAAGTCAAGTTTAATAACGTCTGTGCACGAAAAATGCCACAAAACGCGGAGACATTACATATTCACTTTAATTGAATGAGTGCGCGGGCAGCAATCAAAAACAGTAGATTTTCACTATTTCCATTGAATTAATATACGCGTATTATTGTAAACATCGCTGTGCTAATTGCTACATTTTTGCAGATTAACTTTTGACCGAAAGTAACTCTGCAACAACTATTTTTTTTCCCAATACTCAAATCACGAGCGCCCTCTGTTGGGAAAATTTAAAACCGAGACGCACGCCTGGCTGTTTCGACCTCAATACTGAGTCTTAACTGCTCACAAGAACAGCAACTGTCTTTGCCAAAATCCTAGCGCATCATACATACTGTATGTTGTGTCAGTTCATGCTTTTTCACTGAGCTATCGAGGATTTCGAACTGACATGAACCATTAGATCTGTACTAATGATTTCCTAAAATCATAAAGGGAAGGGAAAATGTAATCCCCTTTCTCTCAAGACAGTTGTGTACAAAATGACAAAGTAATAATGATTCAGAAATCGTAAGATCTGGGAAGTTCAAAGTTCTTCTGGAGTCCTGCAAGTATCCTGCTGGATGTTTCAGAAATCATTCTATTTCTGCTTTAAAATATGTGCTATAGAGGCTGTATGACGTTTTAACAGATGTAGACTTTTTTTTTAAATTGTTGCTGTGCGTTTGCGGGGGCGTATCGTCTTTAAAATGCAACAGTATAGCAAAGTATCAAAACGAAAGCAGGGTTCGCTTTAAAAAGCTAAGAGTGTAATTAATGTTGGTCAATGAAATGCATACATTCTTTTTATGCTATACAAAACGAGAAAATGTGCTTCACTATCCTTACTGTTAACGACACAGTTCTTGATGGGGAGTGGGCACGTTTATTGGCACAAATTATGTCGGTCAAGTATTACTACCAACCGAGCCCTGCCTGTCGCAAGTAGCATAAGCATTTCGGAAAACAAAAGGGATCTTTTGGCGATATCTAAAACAGAAACAGGACATTTCACTACAAGATTCCTCTGCAGTTTCAGAAAAGAATTGCGTAAAAAAGCGAACCGAACACTGCAAAAGGAGAATAACAAGATCGTTCCCGAATGCTGGGTTTCCCGACTTCTGTGGAAGCGGTTCAGCGAGCATGAGACCTGAACTTGCAAAGTCTGACTTTGCAAAAACAGATCTTCGTTTCTCGCAAGCCCATCCTCTAGCCTCTGATTTCCCGATCTTCGTTTAGTCGTTAACCACGCGTATAGACAGGCAAACCATATTTGAAATATCTATTGTTGTCATTTTCGCAGTTCTGATGATTTATAAACTAGTTCACTATGTAATTACATGTGGAGTACGTGTCTGTGGATTCGCCTTTGCCTTTCCGAAGCGAAATATTCCATGAGTCTTTGCATTTCCTAAACATGGAAAGCTGCGCTTTTCTCCTGCGTTGTAGCGCACTACATTAAATCTTGTAAAGTGAGAGATATGGAGTCATTGTTATTACATGAATATCGGCGGTAGTCTTTGCATTTATTATGCCATATATCGGAACTAATTTTAAAGTGCCTAAATGTTTTAAAGAACCCGTTTCATACCATTTTTCCAAACCTAAACCTTCGTTATGCGCGAGGCGAACTAAAGAGGATGAATTTACGATGGTTTAGCTTTTGTTTTGAAGCGATTTTTGTTTTAATAAACCAACTAAATCCACGTCATTTCTCAGCAGCCGACCTCAATTAATGCACAACTAAAGTTTCGGAAGGCGCTGCTGAACGCAACGTTTCTGCTCTCTCTGCGTACATGAGCAGTCCAAAGTTCAAGCTTTGGAAACAATGTTACAAATATTAACGAAATGGCACGCCTCCCCGTTTGTGCGTTTTAAAGAAATATAGAGTTGCGGTAATTTTAAAGAAAATTAAGAAAAAGCGACAACTTGTCTTCGGCTCCCGTTTCTGCTCGTGTTCCTTTAGGAACGAAGATCTCATGTTCCCAGTATTTCAGAGACTGACGCAAAATCAGGCACCTGCTAGTTTTCTTTTTTCGCTTTGCTTTTCGAGGCGCTGCGTAGGTGATGACGACTCGTAGAGGAGGGGTCGCCTTTTCCCAATATAAAGGCGGCAGCTCAAGGCTTCGAACTCAGAACAGCTACAGTGCTGAACCGGGTTTGACGAGAAGTCCACAAGGCAAGACGGTGCTTTGGTCTAGCCGCTGAAAACGACCTGGGCGAAAACCTCGCAACCATGATTAAGAAAATGACACCCTCAGAGAACGAGTTTGACATCCCGGCCAAGAACTGCTACAGGATGGTGATTCTGGGCTCCACTAAAGTTGGCAAAACGTCCATCATCTCCCGTTTTCTGAACGGGAGGTTTGATGACCAGTACACGCCGACCATTGAAGACTTTCACAGGAAATTTTACAGCATCAGGGGAGACGCTTATCAGCTGGATATTTTAGACACCTCTGGAAATCATCCTTTCCCGGCTATGAGGCGCCTGTCCATACTCACAGGTAAATTGAATTTTATTTGTGCGTTAGTGCGTTAACCATTTAGAATTGGGGAGGTAGCTGATTGACTGAAAGGGATATTTGCAAGCAGCTTTTCTCTTCCTGTCTGTGCAAACGCGAGGGGAAAAAAAACAACTTTTTAACAAGTTATCAGATGCAAAAGTTACTTTTGCTAGCCAAAGCACATCCTGGTAAAACGCCCAGAACTAGATGCAAACTGCTGTGTGTTGCACAGTTGGCCCCCAGCGAATGAGACTTAAATCTTGTGTGTCTGTTTTCCTCAGGTGACGTCTTCATCCTGGTGTTCAGCCTGGACAACAAGGACTCCTTCGAGGAAGTCCAGCGTCTGAAACAGCAAATATTTGAGACCAAGTCCTGCTTGAAAAACAAGACCAAGGAGAACGTGGACGTGCCGCTGGTCATCTGCGGAAACAAAGGTGACCGGGAGCTGTACCGGGAGGTGCAACGGGAAGACATCGACCAGCTCATTGCCGGGGACGACAAATGCGCCTACTTCGAGATCTCGGCCAAGAAGAACACCAACGTGGACAAAATGTTCCGGACTCTCTTCGTCATGGCCAAGCTGCCGCACGAAATGAGCCCCGACCTCCACCGCAAGGTCTCGGTGCAGTACTGCGACATGCTCCACCGCAAGTCCATCAAAAACAAGAAGTTCAAAGACGGGGACGTCTACGGCATAGTCGCTCCCTTTGCCCGGCGCCCAAGCGTGCACAGTGACTTGATGTACATTAAAGAGAAAGCTATCGGCGGCGGCCAGGGGAAGGATAAAGAAAGGTGCATCATCAGCTAAGTACTGCCACCGAAAGAACGGGAGAACCCGAGACGAAGTTAAACTCACACCGAGTGGGTCCGATAACCGGTGTAAGAGGTGGCGCTCAGAGAGCGGGGCTCATCCAGGTAGTTTCCAGTTTCTCTCGGCGGCAACCTGTCCTCAATTGTGACACTTGTAAGAGACTCGGAGCGCTTGTGTTGTATGAGCTGGGCAGACTTCTATACAGAACACCTCCCCCCCCCCCACATGAGTGTCAGGGCGCTAAATGTGATGTGGTCAACAAAAACCCTGAGATTTCTTTTAAGAGAAAACACAACAATGCGCTGTTATACACGTGTTCATCTTTTAAATCTTACCGTACTGGTTCAGCAGGTAAAAAAAAAAACTTCAGGGTGGTGTGCAATTTGTAAAAAAAAAAAAAACGATTGTTTACAGTTTGTTATAAATGATTTATAACTTAAAACAGCACTTGAATGTTGCAACAAGAACAAATTTTGTGAATGTCTATTTATTCTTATATGTCAATGTAATTTTATAAAGAAAAATAAAAGATCTTAAACTATTTGTTATCTTCTGGCTCTTTCCCCTCTCCTCCACCCTTGCAGTACTTTTACTTCTCAACTACAAAACTATATGGTGCTCACATGTACTCAAATGAGTATTCCTTACAATGCACTAAAAACAGGGCAGCAGAGTGGCACAGTGGCCTTGCAGCACTAGCGCTCTGGGTTCAATTCTGGACTTGGGGTGCTGTCTGTGGTCACATGGGTTTCCCCCCCCAGAGGTAAATTTGTCATTGGCTTCTGGTGCGAGTGTGTGCGTGCTCACGTCTGTGTGTGTCTGGGGATGCGCCCACTGTTTGCCAAGATAGGCTCCAACTGGAAAATGGATGGGCGCATTGAACCCCAGATACGAAAAGGTCAAATCTGTTAGGTCTCTCAACTCTTACCTGTAAAGTTGCAGATTCATACTCTAGGTAGGGCACAGGTGATGTTGCCTTGAGCGAAGTAGTTTATACAGGTGCGTCAAACTGTCCTGCCGCATTTTGAATTATGTACAAATACAAGCCATTCAAAGGAAACGGATAATACTGACTGCTATTAACACAACCCTTTTGAATCATATGGACTTCCCAACTGTTTCACCCTACGGAAACAGAATACACTGGCATTCGTTTTATCGGCTAGCAGTACAAGTTCAGAATCGGAAGTCGGCTGAATTTTAACTTTAAATGCCTCAGACCTCAACAGGGACAGCAAGTAGCCTCTTATTCGACTGAAGAGTGCAGCAGATTTCAGCTCCAGCCATCACATATGTCTGATAGAACAGGGTTTACAGTTAATTACATTTACCAAGTTTATGAAGAATATCAAACAATTATCCTATCCTAACAAGGGGCACCCATGTTGTGAAAGGCGCTATATACTAATACGCTGAATTGAACAATAAACTATTTTGAAAATAATCCAATTGGTCCAGGCACACATCTGTTAAAGGTATCAAGAGTGATTTAAATGAAGCAATTGACAAGTTATCCTCGATTAACACAAATTGTATTTTCAATATGCTCGGGACAGGCAAATAAATCATGTAAATGTTAACGTGCAACAAATTTTAAAAAAATGCTACAATGCAAACTACCTCTATCAAATGAAATAAACTGCAGACACACCAACCTGTTACAGAGTATACTTTTCTCAGACATGTGATATTTTGGCTTTTTTATAATACTTAGCCCATGCTATCTTTAAAACCTCATAGATGAATTGCAGCCAGATTTCAGACAATAGGTACAGTATGTACAAAAGCAACATGAAGATAGTTAAACCTCTTCTCTTCCTGTGGACTGCTGAAGATACAAGGAATGGTTCCCTCTGGTTGAAGCTCTCTTTGAAATTACAAATATACGTCTTACACCTCCTGCCTAAACTTTGATTTACATGAAACCTTTAACAAGATATTACTGATAAGCAGAATTTAATAAACTGCCTTATTAAACAAAGTTTGAATCAGTTACCCGATGAGTAATTATCTGAAAACGCTGCATATGAAAATGAATCAAATGTGCAAACATTGTAAATCAGTCTTTCTTGTTCAAATATACTCGGCAATAAATACAAAAGTAAAAAAAAGAAGTTAAACATCACCACGTGTTGTAGATGAAAAACATAAACCGAAGGCCTATCCCTCCTAAATATTATAACAGCTCATCCGACAACTTATTTAACTAATAAAAATGCATCTCAACCGAACAATTTGAGAACAGCAGTCTTTTGCTCGAGCCTCTTCCCAACCCAATCACTTCCAGATCGCTGCAGAGCTGTGTCCAAGTCAAGCGAGTTACCTTTAAAAAACAAGGCTGTCTTTCTCCATGTGATTTTGAAACGGGTCTTTCCACAAGCATCCCTCACAGGCAGCATCTACAGTGGAGGTCTTTAAAGGCGACCAGCCCTCTCTAGGGTTTGGGGATGTCAAACATACACAGGCTCTTGTACTTCTGCAGCAGCTGGTTCTTGGTGCGTACCTGCTCCCTAAGGTTCTGCAGTTGCTGTTGCTGCTGTTCGGGACTCAGGCTGATTCCAGGCATAGCCAAAATCTGCTCCCTGGCCTCCTGGATCTTCATCTTGAGTTTGTTCAGTTCCTGGTGGACATCTTGGCTGTCCTTGTCCATACTATCAAACATAAAGACAAGAATACCAGAATGCCCAATTATTTCAAACCCTATTATGTCACTGTTTGAAATAATAATAATAATAATAATAATAATAATAATAATAATAATAATAATAATAAAAAAAAAATTATAAGAGCAATAAAAACAATGCAATAGAACACACTTAAAACACAACAGAAGCAATACCAAAAAATGCCCAATAAATTGACCCAGTAAAAGCAAGAGTAAAATTCTACATTTTAAGGTGAGTTTAAGAATGTCACCTGCCACAGGATCTCTAATGGATTTGGGCAAGGAGTGTTGTACATTAGGATAAGGCTCTTTCACATGGTGTGTTGTCTTTGGTAGTAAAAAAGCTCAAATCGGCACATCTTAGATGAACTTTTAGACTACACATGTGGAATAAGACATCAAGAAACTTTGGAAGTAGATCATTCAGTGCGGTACAGCTGAACAGGCAAATCTCAATCTCTTTGAATTCTGCTCTGAACCAGTGCAATTTACAGAGCACTCTGAAACCATATTCTGATGCAGAGTTGTGTGGTTGAGGTGAAAAAATCGACTTCTCAAAACAAAATAATGCTGAATATTACGATGTGCCTTAAAGTAGCTATTAGTGCGTTACAGGGTTACTATAGTCTCTATAGTTTCCTATTTGTCATTCATAATAGATAAGTAACTCCTAAACGAGATATATAAAACACAACGGGTTTTGTGTGACACTGGTAAAACAAAACAAACACATGTGCTTCCTTACATATCCTCGTAAATAAATAAAGACCTTTGTTTTTTTATAGGAAGCCCATGTGTACAGCCACAAATATCCGAGCGTTTGTTACTGATGGGAGAAATCACCTGCCCCAGCTACAGTGTACTGTGGGAGGTGTTAAGGCACTGTAGCTCATGTAAGGGCAAGTTCAAGCTTTCGTGCAACTCTTGTAGAACTGTGCTATTCACACCCCTTCGGAATAAGCTTGAATCAAAAAAGTGCACATTTGCAGCAAATGTTTCTTTGTTTCTTGCAATCAAAGATCATCAATACCATTCACAACTGCTTAAAAAAGGAAAAACAATAAGAAACTGCCGATAGGAATGACACGATGCATCAATTAGGTTTCAACGTTTGTGTTTGTTCCTGCGGTTACAACTAGATTCACAAACGTTAAAACACCCAAGGTCAGACGATACATGCAGGCAAAGAAAAGCTGTCTTTAACACGTTGCTTTTTACCATTTAATGATGTCATGAACAAGGGGCAGCAAAGAACAATCCTCATCTTCTGCCTCCTGCTTCGGAATCACCGCCGCCATCTCTGCCATTTCTAATCTGGCGCACAAAATACGCGTCATCAATCTGGCGTGTTTCTTCTCTGTAGAAGGATACAGCCTTTCGAGTCTACGTCAGGTTTCATGCTTAGCATCGTGATGACGTCTGATTACCAGTTTCAGTGCACTCGCATGAACGATACAGCTATGCAAAGATATTTTAATTATTTTTCTTTAAAAATAAAATGAGAAATACCGTATGTTCGTAATAAGGAATTTTATACAATCGCGAAACAATTCTGTAATTTCTGAATTTATCTTCACAACAGTTTTTAATAAACCATACAGTATATAATTTAGCATTTTTTTAGGTTGAAATGTTATTGACTGTATACACAGTGAAGTCTGTTACATGTTACAGCAGCAGATGTAACAGATTGTGGACCGAGATATGCGATAACGTATGGATTGAATTATATAGGAACATATTTTGCTGAAAAAAATCGGACTGATTAATTTGTCTTCATTAGCTAGTTATTCTACATCAGGAGTCCCCAGTCCTGGACGTGAAGGGCTGGTGTCTCCGTGGGGTTTCAGTCCAGCTGGGGTGTTAACAGCCTCAGTCAGGGTTTTGTCCTAGTTTGACCAATGTAACAGCTTCTCCCAGTTCTTCAGATCCATGTGCTTTAAAGAGGCCAGAGAAACCTGAAACAATGTAAAGCATACAAGTCGCTGTTAAGGACAAAGCCATTCATCTTGGCATTAAAGCAATATCAACATTGTTCTTTCCAGATTTGTTTCCCTCAGATAGCGTGCCATGTGTAACACTTCAAAGGTTTTGTGACCTTTCCTGCGCTCATGGATGATGCCCTCATCACATTTCCAAGTGTTCACCTCTCTGTCTCTGTTGGCTCTCATGGCTGGGCTTCAGCAATCTTCATGCTGCTTACGCCCATGAGCTCTGTAGCCCTACCTTTCATCTTTCATTATATATGTTCTGCCTTGATGCCAGTGCAGCTCACAGCCGGCATCATCGGTGTGGTCCTTAACACCAAAGATTGTCATTTACATCAAATCCACTTGGACTGACGTCTTCTCACATGGGTTTTTTTACGTATCTTGGCTATTTCATGTTTCCCTCCACTTGCATCTCACATGTCCATACTTCTGTGTATTATTATTAATATTCTGTCTGTGTCTGAGCAAGCTTTCAGTCTGCCCTTCCAATATTATTTCAGTAGAAGAACTAACTTTAAAAGAGACAACTGTCTGCCCATTTTCCAGCCCATTGTCCTCTCTGAACTTTGTGGCACCCTTCTTTGGAGAACAATAAAATCTTTTTTTTAACCAATTAAAAAGTGCTTCCTGTCAAAATGTGATTTCTCTCCATTTACAAGATTAGAAAACAAGATGGAACAGCAGCTAAAGAGCTAGGCCAGTTGATATCAGATGTAGTATTTCCCCCTGATAGTAGTAATTGTTACAGGGACACAGTGATGCAGTATTTCTATTTATAAAAAAATAATAAATATGCACCATGTGTTACTCCAGTGTCCTGGTCAAGTTGCCCTTTGATAAAGAAATTATAATTATTATTATGTGCATCCCACAGTATCCAAGAAGCAGATTTTACTGTCCCCCATTTAAGCTTAGTATACAAAATGCTATGTGCTAGGGAGCTGAAAATCAAACCACTATTATTAGCGGTTTAGATTTTAGCTGATATTCAAAGAGAAGGGACACCAGCTGTTTGCTGCCTACTAATTAGCCAGCCCACTTACAACATTCTCTCATTAAGAGGCAGTCTTAGATAGCTTGCCATGCCATATGATACACAGCCCCTCATTTTACTTCCATGATCTTTATACTGATTACTTGATTCTGTTGCAGTGATGTCTACTTGCTCAGCAGATTGGGATGGGGAAATGTTTTATTTTATGGGGCCCTTTGCTTGGGAGCATACGAACATTACTTCTTTTGACTTAAAATATTATTGGAATAAATTAGAATCATGGCACGGAGTTGTAACCATAAAGATAACAGATTTAAATTATTAACCTTATCATAAAACTGGATAATTTTTCAGGGTGGGAGGGGTTTAATACTGGCAATTAGTCACTTGCTGGAGCTAAAGAGTGAGAACAGTGTCAATAACAGTGACCTGGTGTGGACACTGTTACAAAGTGAGCCTGAAGAGCTCTTCAGATAAGAAAGGTATTTCTGTATTTATACTGCATCCAAACATGAGCTTTAGAATGAAAAAAGGAGAACATATTAAGCAATATAATTAATGGAAATTTTTAACTGGAGTTCGGGAGGGATAATAATGAACAATCCAATCTCACCCAGCTGTTTAAACTCACCATCATTACTGACTGTTGTCATACAATGGATATGTCTTTTGCACACACCTCCTTTTGCATTTTTCTGCCTCCAACCCATCTCCTCCTTTGCAGCTGCCCCTGAATGGGGTTCTTCCTTGTGAAAGGGCATTTGTGTAGCACTTCCTCCCCCAATAGATCCCAATGTGCCTTACAAACGGGGCGGGTGGGGGCCAGTCCCCACCTGGGTGATGTGCAGCAGCTCCACAGTTCACCAGATCAGGTACAAAAATTAACAGAGTGTAGCCAGGACACCCTGACTCCTGAACACAGAGGAAGTGATCATTGGATGGATGAAGAAATCTTTTAGAATATTTAACAGAGTCTGGAATCATGAACCTAGGCAGTGCCGAACCATTCAAAATGACCAAGAGTATTGACACAGCATGCTTGCTTGCCCTTTGTAATGCTGAGACTTGTGCAAGTACATCCTTTCATTCAGAAATATATACCCTATCTGATGTGCAGTCACAGAGTGTTGTTTTGTTTGGCTACAGACCCCAGCCTATTACTGCTAACTGGCTTTTCCGAATGCACTTCAGACTCTCCCATGAGGTAGAATCAGCCAGCCATGGCATCCGTATTGAGCACTTCTTGATGACCGAGGCAGGTTCTTTGTTATTGTTTCTTTGGAGATATTTCTTTTTTCTCTGAAGAAGTCCTTACCACTTCCTCCGCTGTCACTTATTATCCAGGCTATGGCCCCTCAGTTTAAAATCAGATCATGGCTTTACAGACTGGGATTTAACTCATTTACTTTGGATTCTTTTGACTGTTTCTAGAAGTCATGCTTCAGGGGAGTTAAGCGTTGCATCTGAAATATATGTTGGACCATTTAGTTTCTTTACTTATTCCTTCCTAGTCTACTTGTCTTGAAGACAGCCATTAAGCAACAACAGAGGAATGCCTGAGGAGTTGTATGCTACCTGACATTAAAGCTGATCTGTCGGAGCTCTTACCTCCAACATCTTTATAACCTAGCTTTTGCACTCTCAGATTCTTATCAGCCTAGCTCAGGACTTCCAGGAAAATAATGTTCAAGTGGCGTTGCAAGACTATTTTGGAGATCAGCAAATATCTCAATACAATAGGAGAGGATAAGTTTGTCGATTTCAGAGAGTCTTGCGAAGCACAAACAGAAATGTGTGGATGTGCAAGAGAAATATGAAAAATTACACCTATGAAACATATTTGGTACTGTAGGTAATTCACTTTATGCATTGATTTAACCCAGGATGAATACACAGTATTTTTATATTACCCTACATGAGACAGGACAGAAAGCATATTCTCATTTTTCTCAAGTTTTGCTTGAAAACAAAGAGATCACACCTGTTATATAACCATCATGTTTCAAGAACAAATGAAATCACACTATCCCTAGTATCGCAGGATGATAAAAGTGTCACAGTGATGTAAATACAAAAATCCCTTATAATGAGCAGATCCACAGCAAATCCTTCCTGTGTTTTCTTTGTATATCCTGTATTATCACCTCTTGGCCTACTAATCGCCCATGACCTAAATTTCATTTATAGCTTGTACCAATTTTCTCTTTTATCTGATTAAGTAACCTTGTTATGCTTACTGTTCCTCACTGTACTCACACATTGGAGAAGAGATGCATGAACTACCCAATCACCACCTGATGTTAGACTCCTGAATTTTCCAGAAGGTTTGAGACTTCCGTTTGTGTTCATCCGTCCTCCCATATTTTCAGATGGAGGCTTGATGGTTGTATTGTGAAGAGAATCTTTTTTTTTTACTCATTAAAACAGCAGGCTTATTCGTAAAAGTGTTTTGAAAAAGAACGTTTCCCCCAGATGAAACAGCCAAAAGGAGGTTTCAGGAACTGTGCAGCTAAGCCTGTCACAAGCAGCCTCTGGGCTAAAAACTATTTCTGTTGGCAGAACAATGCTGGGGGATTTCTTCTTTTAGAAAATAAAGTAAAAAAACAACATCGTAAATTAATGCTCTATGAATACAGCCTGGAGTGAGTTTCCATTAGACTTAAGCCTGGCATTAAAGGTTTATTTTCCCAGTATTTCATTCAAACGTACCTAACCTCAAAGGTAAATGTAATACCCTGATTAAAAGTGGCTTCTTCTAGAATCAAGAAAGTGATACTCTAATATTTACCTTTTCTAAACATCACCTTTGTTGTACCTGTGGACATAAACTCCTTTTAGGCATTGCTGTCATTCCAGGAAGCCACCAAGTAAAACATTTGTGTGTCACATGAGGGCTATGAAAAAGTCTAATTTAAGAATCAAGTCACTGAAATAATAAATTCATGTATCTATGGAGAACATTCTGGAACCTGGAACATTCTCAGACTCAAAGGACTATCCTTTTGCTGCCCAACTAAAAGAACTGAATTTAAAATCCTCAAAGGTTTTGACAATGTCAGCCCCATAGACGTCTTCAGAATCAACAATGAAACACTAACGGTAAGGCATAAACGGAAACTAAGGTGAAGCACATTCTAAAATGGAGAATGGGAGTTTCACAACGTGCTGCAGGAATCTGGAAGCAGCTCCTCGGTCATGTTTTTAACACTTGATTTTTTTCAGGACGTGACTGAATGAGATTCATAGCTCAGTTAGCCTAGACAGCTAAAGATCACACACATCAGATGCAGCTGAACAGCGTCATCTCATTTGCATTTTTGTTTGCAAACATTATCTGACCCAGCTGTGTTATGTTTGCTGAAAACACAAGAGCAAGTAGGTAGGCAAAGACATAACTCCCCCAGAAAACACATTTATTTGTTGGAAGCTTTTAGGTCTCCTCATTTAGTTAGAACGTTCGAAAC